TGTATGCAGCGATGCGGCGGGTCAGCTTGCAGCTTGTCTCAAGTCGGCTAGAGCCACGACAAAGGTTTGGGCACGGCGTTTCAGGGCGCCTCGCCAAATAATTTCCAACTGCAAATTTATTATCCTATTACTTGATTCCTTTGAGGAGGAGCGGGCTCTTTCTTTTGATGAGTTACAGGCACGCAAGACTTGTATTGACTGCCTCGCCCAAGCAATCAAAGAGAAAGCAGCTTACTGGAAGCAGCGTAGTAAGTTCTGGGCAATCAGGGAAGGGGATGCAAACACTGCCTTTCATCATGCCCAGGCCACCGTTCGTCTGCGAAACAACTCCATCTGATGGGTTGAAGTGCACGGCTCGGTGATTGCCAACCATGACGGAAAATACAAGCTCTCACCAACTATTTCAGCTCCATCATCGGCGAACCAGGGACCTCAGCCTGGAACTTTGATGTGCATGCTCTCTTCCATGACAGACAGCGGCCGTCCAGTGAGCTCATCGCTCCTTTCTCTGAATTGGAAGCCTTCGAAGCTCTGAAATCCATGGACAGATCAAGTGCACCGGGCCCCGATGGTTTCGGAACTTCTTTTTACAGGGCGGCCTGGGTCAGTATAAAGTCGCAGGTCATGGCCTTCCTGCAAGCCTTCCAACAGAGGCAAGTGCAGCTAGAGAGGATCAACCGTTCTTACATGGTGCTTATCCCAAAAAAGCCTGGAGCTGTAGCTGTGGACGCATTCAGACCAATATGCCTACAAAATTGCTCCATCAAGATACTTAGCAAAATGCTCACAAGAAGACTGCAGAAAGAGATTGGGAACTTGATTGACCTACACCAAACAAGCTTCTTAAAGGGTCGCTCTATCTCTGAAACTTTCGTCTTTGCAGCTGAACTGATTCAGACTTGCAACAAAAGGAGACTGCCGACCTTGGTGCTTAAGTTAGACTTTGCGAAGGCCTTTGACACAGTGTTTTGGGAGAGTTTGGACACTATCCTAAAGGACAGGGGGTTTCATGACAGATGGTGTGCTTGGATGCGGGATATCCTATCCTCATCGAAATCGGCGGTGCTTGTTAATGGCTGCCAGGGCCCTTGGATTACATGCAAACGGGGCCTGCGACAAGGTGATCCGTTGTCGCCCTACCTCTTTCTTCTGGTGGCTGACTCTCTTCAGGCTATGATCAGGTCAGCAGCGACAGTCAGGAGTCTGGTGGACAGTGACAGCCCCTGCGCGGTTTGTTCAGTATGCGGACGATACTCTACTGGTTCTACGGGGTGATGTTGCTGATGTCCAAGCTTTGAAGAATATCCTGCAAGCTTTCTCAGAGGCCACAGGTCTAAAAATCAACCACATCAAGAGCACCTTAGTCCCCATTCACATGGACGCTGGCTTGGCAGCAGACTGTGTCACCATCATGGGGTGTGCCCACCAGTCTTTCCCTCAAAACTACCTAGGCCTCCCTCTATCGGCCTCCAAACTGCCGGTCTCAGCTTTCTCAACGTATGTCGACAGGACCGACAAATTCCTCTCCTCCTGGCAAGCTTCCCTACTCAATACCATGGGCCGAGTCATTTTGATCAACTCGGTCCTAGATGCACAGCTGGTGTACATCATGTCAGCAATGCAGATTCCTCAAGAAACCATCTCCCAGATAGACAAACGCCGCCGCTCCTTTCTTTGGGCCGGCAACAAAGAATTTTTAGGCGGCAAATGTCTTGTGGCCTGGACCAACGTTTGCACGACAAAAGAACTTGGGGGGCTTGGAATCAGGGACTTCGGCACCCACAACATCTGCCTGCTGCTTAACCTTGTCCACCGCCTCCATCATACCGATGCATCGGCATGGGCACAAGATGGATCGTGGGTAAGGCTGATATTGCAAACATGAAAGGGAAAATCTTGGACATCACTGGGAGCTACTTGATCCATCGCTACCACTTTACCAAGCAATCGACAACGGTGGAATTGGGGATGGCCGATCAACTCTTCTCTCGGACGGATGTCCGGAATGGCGACGCAGGCGTTGGAAGATCGCCTTCCACGGCTCTTCTCCCATTGCACCGTGAAAGATTCAACGGTGCGACAAGCTATTTACTCCAACCTTCATGGCTGCTTTGTAAATCGAATGTCAACGCAGTAAATGATGAGTTGCAAAGCAGCTTAAGGTTATCCTCCGACAAACCCAATTGATGGATCAACCGGACACACGGGTTGCCGGCATTCGGTCGGACGAAGGGATGTGCTCGACACCTCGGCCATCTACAGCTACTCAAAGCCCAAGGACATCAAGATGACCCCTCTTCGGCTTTTATCTGGAAGAACGCGGCGCCACCTCGGGTTCAGATGTTCTTCTGGCTACTCCTCAGAGGAAGAATCCAATGCAGGGCAAACCTATACCGCAAGAACATCGTGGACCTGCCAAACTGCCTCGTCTGCGGAATGGACGATGAGACGCCTGATCACCTAATCTTTGAATGCCCAATCGCTGCACAGTTCTGGCGGGTGCTCGAATATACACTGATGGCCTACATTGCGTAAACGGCACCATATTCGTAGAGTGTCCGAATCCCGATGACCAATACAAGGTGCCTTCATAATGATGTGCTGCTGGGTGCTTTGGAAACGCCGAAATGCGTTTGTTTTCAGAGATGAAGTGATCCCTATCAGAACCATTTTTCTACAATGCAAATCTGAATCAGCAAACTGGAAAGCTCGTATGCCAAAGAGAAGCAAGCGAGTTGTTGAGGATTGGAGCACGGTTCTCCAAATGGCAATCAACTCGGTCCCTATGTAATATGTCTTATGAAATCTGTCTAGATGCTCTGAAATCCTAGCGAAAACCCCATGTACAAAGTCCATATAATCATGTAACTTGAGCTTTACTCAATAAATCAGGTGGGGATCAATCCCCCGTTGAAGTGTTCAAAAAAAAAATGACTCCAGAATATTGTCCATATTTAGGCCGGCGCATCGTATTGGGGCCACCGAGCATTTTGCTATGTTTAGCCTAAGGCCTGTTACCTCTCCAAAAGCTGTAAGGATTCTTAGTAGTGCATCCACTTCTTGCTTTTCAGGGTTGAGAAAGATGACAGCATCATCTGCATACAAGGACAGCCTCAATTTGGCAAACCTTCCCCGGAGAGGAGAGAGGACTCCATCCTCTGTTGCGAGGTCCAGAACCCTTTGCAATGCGTCAATTGCCACGATGAAGAGATACGGAGATAGCGGGTCTCCTTGTCTTAGGCCTCTCGCGTGTTTAATTGTCCTCCCTGCTGTCCCATTAAGCAGCACATTAGAGTGAGAGGTTCTGAAAAGTAAGGCAATCCAGTCCCTCCATCTTGGGCTGAAGCCACGGTGCTCTAGCATTTCAAACATGTATTCCCCCATGACACCGTGTCAAAAGCCTTTGAGATGTCCAGCTTGAATAACAGGGCTGCAGTTTTGGTGCGGTGGTAAGCTCTTGCTAAATTTCTCACATACATGTAATTGTCATGGACGCAGCGGCCTTTTATGAAAGCGCTTTGGGCTGGAGAGATGAGCTTGTCAATGTTGTGTGATAGCCTGATCGCCAAGGTCTTTGTGATCAGCTTGGCAAAGGAGTGAACCAAGCTCACTGGTCTGAAATCCTTGGCATTCTCGGACACTTGCAGTTTGGGGATGAGGACAATGTTAGCTCCATTGAGGTGTTCCAAAGGTCCGGCTCGCAGGTGATAGAAACAGTTCATTGCATCCATGATCTCCTTTTTGATTATCTGCCAGCATTTTTTATACAAGGCTCCCGTGAAACCGTCTGGTCCCGGCGCTTTCTCCGCAGGTAGTGATTTGATGGTATGCTCAATCTCCTCCTCAGTGAACGGCCTATCCATTTCGTCATCCTCGAGCCTGCATAAATTCAGGCTTGGCCAATCCAGCACCCGTGCACGGTTAACATTTTATCACAGCAGATCAGAGTAGAAACGGTATAGGATGTCCTCCTTCTCGTCATGTGACCAAAGAATGTCATCCGTTTCTGTTTTAAGATATGCTATAAGATTTCTTTTGCGTCGTCCATTTGCTCGTTGGTGGAAACACTTTGTACATGCATCTCCTTCCCTGATGTTAATCATCCTCGAGCTTTGACGGCGCCTCGATCTCTCGATCGCTGCCCATCCCAAAACATGCTGCTTGAGTTGTTTCATGAACTCAAGCTCTGGTGCCGACAGAGTTCGCGTCTCTTGGGCAATGTCGAAACGAAGGATTATCTCATTGGCCAACAGCAATTGTGTTCGGGCATCACTGAATAGCGTCCTGCTCCATTCTTTCAAACTGCGCGCTGTGCTCTGTAAACGGTTATGGAGAATCATCAGCGCGTTGGTTCCCTGTACTGGTTGTGCCCAGGCCGCTGCTACCACTTCAGAGAAGCCGGGTATCCTTGTCCAGAAGTGTTCGAATTTAAAAACTGCTCTTCTTGGCTGGTGCAGCGTGAATGTTTTGATACCCCAGGTGTCATGTACCCATACCTTCCAACGGTTCTGATTTAAAGAGTCCAACTTGGATGCCCGCCGCGTGTCCTCAACTTATCTAGCTTAGCATTTACTAAACCAAATAAGCATTGGTGACGTGGCTATGCGAAAACCCGTGTGGCAGGATGTGGGTGCGCCATTCGAAATTTCAATTTCAACAGGCCAACTCTGCTGTTCCGCCTTATAGCTTACCCCCGAAGCTTAGGCTTCTAAAAATTTTCACCTTAAAATGTCACATCGAATCTTACGGTACATGCGGAGTAGAAAAACAAAACTAATTACACAGTTGGGTGAGAAATCACGAGATGAAACTTTCGAACATAATTAGTCTATAATTAGACATTAATTGCCAAATACAAACGAAATTGCTACAGTAGCCAAAACCAAAAAAAAATCGGCCACTAAACGTGCCCTTACTATGTTCATTCATCTCCTTCCTTCGATCTGAAGAGTCAGATCCATATCATTGCCTCATACATGAGTTCTTCTAGTGCAGACCAGATGGCAGTATGTGCCGGCGAATCGCAACCGGTTCGCCATTCGTTGACCCGGTTGGAACAGACGAGTCAGATGCAGAGTCTTCCTGATTTGCGAATTGCAGGTAAAGAAGAATTTCGCCGATCTCGAATTCGTATTGATTGACATCATCTAATGATTCCGCCATTCTTTATGTGCTTTGTTTTCTTTAGATTCTGCTCCAGCATCGATCCAACTCATGGAAAATCCCAATCTGCTCAAGAGGTAACCAAATCAAGACCAACAATCACATAATCTTTTCCATTGATTTCTACTCCTCGCGCGCTATTCAGCATCACTCCAGTAGAGACCAGTCTCTATGTTTTTTTTTACTTTGATTTTAATCATCAGCTCGATGTGGCATACTTTCTACTTTTAGGGGCCGTTTTTCAAAGTTTGGTTAGTGATGCTATTTATTGTATTGAGTTTTCAAGGTATAAATCTGTTTTCCAAGATGAATATTTTTTATTTTGAACACACCAATCCGCTCTCAGGTTGAGTATAGGGCTGAAAATTCCAAATGTTGGTTTGTTTGTTTTCTATTTCCCCCCAACCTCCCCCTATACCCTCAAGCCTCCCTTCGCTGTTTTTGCAAATTATCATTCAACTCTGCGGCAAACAACACATATCTGGCTTCATTTTTTCTTGTACTTTTCAGTTTTGCCTGGATGGTATATATCTTGTTCAATTTCAGGAAGAGAGGTAAGCACGGCCCTGAAGCCAGGATTTCAGTCATGGAAGAAAGTGATATTACTCAGGCTATGCGAACGTCCTCCAGTCGCTCTGGTGAGCCTGTTTTCCTACCTGCTGTTGGCATGGAGTTCGACTCCGCAAAAGAAGCAAAAGACTTCTGCAACCTATATTCATGGGAAATTGGATTTGGCATTAGAAAAGGTCGAAACAGAGTGAATGACAACAATTACACAACGAGGCAGAATTTTGTATGCTCATGTGAGGTATTTTTAGTACTGACTACATAACTTTTACAATTTTATTATTCAAAAATGAAATGGAAGTTGTGCTGAGTATTTTTTCCTAATTGCTATCTCAGGGCCTCTGTCCTAACAGCAGGGCTGCAACCTGCAGGACTGGTTGCAAAGCCATGATTAGGCTTCATCGCACCAGTGATCATGGATGGGTTATTTCTCGGTTTCACCCGCAACACAATCATCCTTGTTCTGCTACCCATGGGCAGAACAAACAGTGGCTCTCACACAGCGACATTGATCCTATGACCAAGGACGTTGTTCGGAAGCTCCGTGAAAATAGGGAGGGTTTGCAGCATTCTAGGGGTTCACGGTACTCAATCAGCAATTCCTATAAGGAAAGAGGCGGTAAGATCTCTTTGCGCCAGAATTGCCCAGGATAATATTAAGGACGACATAGGGAAGACATTGGGCCTTCTTGAGCAGATGAAAAGGAATGATGTTGGCATGGAAATCAGCTTTAAACTTGATGAAGATGGTAAGATTAAATCGATGCTCTGGTGCACTGGAAAGAACAGGGCTGACTACGCAAAGTTCGGTGATGTGGTGACATTTGATACTACGGCCCTGTTTAGATGCCATCCAAATTCCAAGTTTTTTTACTCTCTCTCCATTACATCAATTTTTAGCCGCTTGCATGGAGTATTAAATGTAGGTAAAAAAAATAACTAATTACACAGTTTAGTTGGAAATCACGAGATGAATCTTTTGAGCCTAGTTGGTCCACGATTGGACAATATTTACCAAATAAGACGAAAGTGGCACTATTCATCAGATTCACTTTTTTTGCAATCTAAACAAGGCGTACCTATCGAACGAATTTATATAACCTCCCATTTGGACTTTTTGTTGGTGTTAATAACCACTTTCAGTCCATTGTGTTTGGTGGGGTATTGCTGACAACCGAGAAGGTTGAGGATTTTGAGTGGGCTTTCAGCAAGTTTGTAGAAATAATGGGTGGCAAGGAACCCCACACTATACTCACAGGTTGCTCTTCCGAATCTCGTCATATGTGATTTAATGTCCTTTTTTCTGTCTTTTTTCATGTCACATCTTACCCATTTGTTTTTTTGTGAATTTTAATGTAGTTTATTTACATTTTCAGATCAGTGCCAAGCGATGGCTGCAGCCATAAAAACCACACTGAAGGCGACTAATCACTGGTGGTGTCAATGGCACGTTTTGAGGAAGACCAAGCAAAAAGTTGGTCCTACCTACAGCAAGAAAAGAAACTTTAAGAAAGAATTCAACAAACTTGTCACCGAAGAAACAATGGTACTTAGGTTTGAAAGGAAGTGGAGGCAACTAATGCGCAAGTACAATCTTGTTGACAATAAGTTCATGAAGAATATTCAAGCACAGGGCTAAGTGGGCCAAGCCATATTTTATGGATATATTTTGTGCTGGTATGACTAGCACTCAAAGGAGTGAGAGTGCAAACCACATGTTAAAGCAATTCATACAGAGGTCCGCACCGATGCATATGTTCGTTCGAAAGTTCAATGAGTTCCAAATGGACCGGAACGATCACGAAGAGAAGGAGGTGTATCTCACCAAACAGGTTTGCACTGCATGTCCTTTTTTTGAATTTGTGTTTGTTTTCACCATTAGAGAAATCCCAACTTTATAAATCAATGCTAAATGTAATTAAACATTCATTTTTGGATCAGCAGATGCATAGGAAGCATCGTGTTGGTGTGCCCATTGAGCGCCATGCTGAACTAATTTACACTAGGAGAATTTACGAGAAGTTTTATAATGAACTATATTATGCTGGTGGATATGCGATCAAAAGTAGGACTTCTGATGGTGTATTTGAAGTAGCTCACTCATTGTTCGATGGCAATGCTGATCAGATTTTCTATAAGGTTGTATATGTTGGTGGTGAGAAGATCACATGCCAGTGCGGGCTTTATGAACATCTGGGTTTGTTGTGTAGGCATTCGCTTAAGGTATGATTCATGGCTCATCTCGTGTACCTTTTTATCTTTTTGTTTTTCCTTACCATACTTTCTATTGTAAATTGTATCATTATTTCCTTTTCTACAAGTTCTTGTGCACTTGGACGTCAAAGAGATACCCAAGAACAATATCATGCCTCGTTGGATGAAGGATGGAGATGAAAGTGCTGACCACAGTAATGTCAAGACTGGCTTTCACGTAATTCGGGGGTCAAGTGACGTCCTAAAGAAAAGGGCTCTAGTCAGCCGAGTGCTCGAGGTTGCGTATGGACCAAATGCGATTAGTGAAGAAGTCTATGCTCAAGCCATGGGAGTGATGGATTTGGTTAGGTCACAATCTTCAATGCTGCAACCATTGGTTGATCAACCATCTCATGATCCCCGTATCAGTGTAGTTACATCAGCTTCTGCTATCAGCGCTCCAACCAATATTCGCTGTCCGGACAGACCAACAAAGAAGGGAAGACCTGCCAATTCTAGCCTTCAGTCATGGAAGGAAGAGCAGAAGAGAAACAATCGGCAGAGCACAGATGAAGAGAACCCGAGGGGTGACAAGACTCGGTTGATCGCTGATGTACTTGCAGTCTAGGCACTCGCATTCCCCTTTTTCGCATTTTATTCCTACATGAGTCTCGATTATCATACTGCCCTGATGGACAAATGACATCTATTATGTTCCATTATGCATCGGCATTAGAGTTGCATTTTGGTTATAGACGCAGCGTTAACTGAATGAATGTACTGTCAGATTATCAGTCTCCTTTTGTTAAGTTCCATGTTTATATATATCGATCTGCACGTGTAATGGATCTCAGCGGTTATTACTATCAACCTATTTTTCCTCTATCAATATTATATGTTATGGGAAGTAGCTTTTTTTTAAAAAATATTCGTATTGATCTGCACAAGCTTATTTAACGGATCAGAGCGGACAGGCTCAGTGAACAGTCTGAATAGTGCGTGAGGAGCACACATCTTAGATAATATATATTTTTCAATAACAGTATAGGTGCACCTGAGAAATGGACGCAGTACGCAATTATCAGTTTCTGACTAGCAAGGCCTTTATTCAGATTTTGTACATCAAAGATACCGGAACAATAGCCAGCTACTGATCTAGTTCTATTTTTCAACTCATTACAGTAATATGCAGTTCATAGTTGCGATACAAGAAATTACTACTGCTTATGGCAGTGGCTACAGACCCACGCTTAATTTTTTTTTTCACGCCGACCTATCTGATCGATACCAACAGCATATTGAATCTTCGAATCGGTCGACTCCACACGTCGACCTACTCACTTTTCATATGCATCAGTGGGCCACTTGTTCATTCAAATCAAGCAATTCTTGAACACCTCGTGCTCCACAGCAGCTCTGTCGACCTGCGCCCGAAATTTCAATGAAAAGTGAAATAAGTTATTTCACACGAACACAAACACAAACACAATTCAAATCTTTACAATCACATTATATCTGTATCATTCTGTGTCATGTCATGATAGGTATTTTCAGCATTATGTTTGTCTTTGTTGCGTGTTCCAATATGCTCTATGTTATGCGTGCTGTGTAGGAAGGGGAGGATGTTAGAATAAACTACTGCTTTCTTGTGAACACACAATAAGGGGAAGGCGGTGCCAAAAAGGCTCCCTGCTGTGATACTGTAGCTGCTGCAGGTGCAGGCGTCGAATGGCTCACCTGCAGTACTGTAGCCACATGCAGAGGCCGGCGCAGAGTCAGCCCTGCTGTATTATCTAGTTACTGTTGCAGCATGTGCGCTGTACTAGTACTAGATGGAAAGAGTTATATAAATAGACTACTACAGCAACTCAGTAAATAGAGTTCATATTTGCCATCTCCTATACAGGGCTTCGGCCAACGCTGGTGTCTTGTACTATGTGTCTATGCTCTGTTCTTCCTCTTCTTCAACTTCTAGCCATAGTGTGTGGGGACGGACAACGCTTGTTCGTGGTCGGCTTAGCTAGTGGGTGCTCGGCAACACTAGCGGGTGCTCGGCAAGACTGGTGAGTGGTTCACTCACCTGAGCCGGTGATCCAATGGACCAACAAGTGGTACCAGAGCCGTACAAGCGCCGTCGCCGGACTAACCGCTGGCGATGACGAACGGTTCGGAGATGGGCGATAGCAGTGGCACTGCTGTGGCTGCCCAGCCACGACCGGTGGTCGTTGTTCGCACGGTGAGGGAGGTCAGCGGCACCAGTTGGTCGACGCTGACTCGCACCAACTATGGAGAGTGGTCGGTGACTATGAAGGTCAAGCTCAGAGCCCGACGGCTCTGGAATGTTGTTGACAATGGCATCGACAATGAGGAAGATGATATGTCAGTGTTGGAGGCTATCCTCGCTGATGTACTGGCGGAGTACAAGGAGCCGTTGGGGGCGAAGAGCTCTGCTAAGGAGGCGAGGGAGGCTATTGCGGCGATGCGCGTCGGTTCTGACCGCGCAAAGAAGGCGACGGCCCAGCTTCTAAAGCAGGAGTACGCCAACCTCAAGTTCAAGGATGGTGAAACGGTGGAGGACTTCTCCTTCCGCCTGTAGACGCTCATCAGCAAGCTGAAGAGCCATGGCGTCACCATCGACGAAGAGGAGGCGGTCTCCAAGTACCTCCACTCCGTGTCGGCAAAGTACATCTAGATCGCTCTCTCCATAGAGACGATGCTAGACTTGTCCACCCTCACCATTGAGGATGTGAAAGGCCGTCTGCGGGCGGTGGACGAGCGCCTGTAGCAGGCGACAACAACGAAGGACAGCGGCAAATTGCTGTTGACAGAGGAGTGGGCTGCTTGGAGGAACTCCGAGAAGGCAGCCTCCTCCAGCCAAGGTGGCGATGGCAAGCGCCGTGGCAGGGCTTCTTCAGAAAAGAAGAAGCAGGTCGACCCCAACGCCTGTCGGCGTTGCGGGAAGATGGGCCATTGGGCACGGGAGTGCCCAAATCGCAAGCAGGAGAAGAAGGCTCAGGCTCATCTGGCGCAAACTGATGATGAGAATGAGGCCACTATCCTGATGGCGACGTTCTGTGCACTACACGACATAGAGACCGAGGAGAGAAAAGAGGCGACGACGGTGGAAGGACCTGGGAAGGCCCTGAAGACTGTCAACCTCGACTAACCATGCGTCCAAGTCCACCTCGGACATGTGGGCGCCGACCAGGAGCAGCGGTGGTATCTGGACTCTGGTGCCAGCAACCACATGATGGGCTCCAAGGCATCCTTCTCCGAGCTCGACGACGATGTTACCGGTACGGTGAAGTTTGGTGATGGCTCACGGGTGGCAATCGAAGGGCGCGATACCATCATCTTCAGGTGCCAGAACGGGGAGCACCGCACGCTAATGGATGTATATTACATCCCGCAGCTGCGTTCCAGCATCATCAGCTTTGGTCAGCTGGATAAGCGCGGTAGCGAGGTTCTGATCAAGTACGGCGTTCTGAGGATCAGAGACCGGGAGCAGCGACTTCTCGCCAAGGTGAAGAGGTCCCTGAACCGGTTGTACTTGCTCGACCTGAAGGTAGAGCAGTCGGTGTGCCTGGTAGCAAGGCACACCGAGGAACCATGGATGTGGCATGCCCGGTTTGGACATCTCAGCTTCGACGCGCTTGGTCGGCTAGGGAAGATAGTCCGAGGGCTACCCCACATCAAGCACAGAGGTGACCTGGGTGATAGCTGCCTGGTCGGCAAGCAGAGGAGGCTACAATTCCCAAAGGCGACCAAGTATCGCATGAAGGACGCTCTCGAGCTCGTCCACAATGACCTCTGCGGGCCGATCACGCCTGCTACAAACGGTGGTCGGCCGTACTTCCTCCTGTTCGTGGATGATTGTAGTCGCTACATGTGGCTGCAACTTCTGACGAGCAAGGACAAAGCGGCGGCGGCGATCAAGAAGTTCAAGATGCGCGTGGAGGCCGAGAGCGACAAGAAGCTCCACGTGCTGAGGACTGATCGCGGCGGTGAATTCACTTCGGCGGAGTTCGCTGCGTACTGCGCAGATCAGGGTGTGGTGCGACACCACACCGTGCCGTACTCGCCACAACAGAATGGCGTGGTGGAGAGGCGTAACTAGATGGTGGTCGGCTTGGCTCGATCCATGATGAAGGCCAAAGGCATGCCAGCAAGGTTCTGGGGTGAGGCGGTGACCACAGCGGTGTTCATCCTCAACCGCTCTCCGATCAAGGCCCTGACGGGCAAGACGCCGTTTGAAGCTTGGTATGGGCGCAAGCCGAGCGTGTCCTTCCTCCGGACATTCGGCTGCATCGGCCACATCATGAAGACGAAGCCGAACCTCACCAAGCCAGCAGGACAGGAGTACACCGATGGTGTTCTTGGGCTACGCGGTGGGTACCAAGGCATACCGGCTCTACGACCCACATGGAGACAAGGTGCTTGTCTCACGTGACGTCGTGTTCGATGAGAAGGTGGCTTGGGACTGGAACAGTCCGAGCACGGGGGAAGCTAGCGGCTTCACTAGCACCTTCGTCGTTGAGCACCTGGTCATCCACGGTGGTGGAGACGCTAGGGAAGAGATGTCGAGCACTCCGGGAGGAGTGCCGAGCACTCCAGCGGTAGAGCCAAGCACTCCTGGGGCAGTGCCGAGCACTCCTAGAGGGATGGCGAGCACACCAGGAGGTTCTGCAGTGGTGGCGACCACTCCAGGACAGGTGTCGAGCACTCCCGTGGTAGAGCCAAGACGTCTTGCAGTGGTGCCGACCACTCCAAGACTGAGGCTAAGCACTCCTATAGTGGTGTCGAGCATTGCTGGAGTAGTGACGAGCTGTCCAGAAGTAGTGCCGAGCACTGCTACCAGGGTGCCGAGCACTCCAGGTGCTGTGCCGAGCACTCCGGCAGAACAGGGAACTCCATCAACACTGATCGAGTTCGCCTCACCTCCAAGTGACATCACTGAGTTCGTGGATGCCTTCCACGAAGGTGAGGAGGTGCGGTTCCACAAGCTAGAATACATCGTCGATGGCACATGACCCTCAGGACTGGCTGGTCGGCTGCTCAATGACATAGAGTTGCTGCTCATCAGTGCAGAGGAACCACCCACGTTCGCGCTAGCCGAGCAGGACAGAAACTGGCGATGGGCGATGCTGGAGGAGATGAAGGCGATCGAGGAAAACGAGACATGGTAGCTTGTCGATCCACCTCTAGGATGCTGTCCGGTCAGCATGAAGTGGGTGTACAAGGTCAAGCAGGACGAGCTCGACGCCATTGTCAAGCATCACAGCAGCACGCCCTAGTGGCGCGCTTTTGGCTTTGTTCATCACTTGAGGCTAATGGCGAGGTCTTTGACTTCGAGTCTTTTTTGCGCTAGTAGTGCGCATGGAGTCGGTCCGTTTGCTACTAGCCTTGGCAGCAGCAAAGGACTGGCGCGTCTATCACTTGGACTTTAAATCGACCTTCCTCAATGGCGAGCTAGCGGAGACGGTCTTCATCAGGCAACCTCCAGGTTTCGTCGTCAAGGGAGAGGAGCTTAGGGTGCTTCGGTGCAAAGGCACTCTGATGGCGACAGGCCCCCACGAGCATGGGCAGCCAAGCTTGATGCCACAGCAGGCGAGCTTGATTTCAGCGATT